TAAATAGAAAAGTTGATATCAACTTTTAAGTGCAATCAAAGTCTTTAAAAAACCCCTGTGTGAGTGAGATATTCCAGACCTAGGGATGAATGGGTCATATTTTCTGATAAAATTGGGTTCTAGCTTCTACTTCTCAAATTTTTGCTAACAGATAAAAAACCTTTAGGAGGATATTAACTTAACAAGCCTTAACTCTCTTTAACAAAAAGGCTACAGGTGGCATTTGAGGGCTATAGCTGAGATGTGTCTTGCTATAACTACCTACTTAGAGTTTCTACCAATACAATTGAAAGTGCCTTGATTATGGCTTTTCTTTGCTATGTTACTATAAAAACTTCATGAAACTTCTTTGACACTTGAACGAGGAATTTGGGGTAATCTTTTTTCCAGTCCATGGTCACTTACATTTGGCTCTAGAATAAATGATCACTTATTTGCTTTGAGGTGAGATTTGTGCATTTGCATTAACAATACTCAATGTCATTGTAAATTGTTGATAAAAATCAGGCCTCTTGGGGCTGGGGAGATGACCCAGAGGTTAAGAGACACTGGTTACTCTTGCTGAGGAGCTGGGTTCAGCTCTTAGCAACCACATGGTAGCTAACAAGCATGTACAATTCCAGTTACAGGAGACCCAGTACCCTCTTGTGGCTCTTATGGGCATTGCATTACGTGGGTGCCCTTACATACATGCAGTCAAAACACTCATACACATAAAATTAATTGAAAGGCAAAAATAACAATAAACAAAAAAATAAAGAGAAAATAAGATTTCAATTGTAGAAATGTTTGACAAAAAGCATATGTGCTATGGAAGTTAATTAGTCTTGTAAGATGAAAAATTGAGGCAGAATTCTTTTAATAAGGCATCAGTAAGTTCAGACAACAATTTCAATTCAGTAATCATAGGGTACTACACACTGTGCTAAGATCAAGAGGGAAATAAAGCAGAGAAGATCAGCTCTCCGAATGAAGCTCACACAATGTCTTTACCGAGTATGTGAGAATAAAAGCTTTGCTCATATGTGACAGAAGATGCCTAAAGTTTTAGGAAGATGAGGTGAGCCGTGTTTCACACCAAGTGCATCCCAACTGAATTTTTCACCGCAACCATTTTTTTCCCGATTATTTATTCACTTTCTTTTACATTCTTTTAACCTATAATATATCTTTGTTCCATTATTCATATTAAATAAAAATAAGATGCACTAAAGTATGGTCAGAAATATAATCTACATTATGGTATTTTGTAATTATTAATTATTTAAACTAGAGCACATTTTAGAATCTCTTACAATTGAGATACATGAAAAAATTGGTTAAATAACCTTAGGAATTTTAAAATAATTCAGTAGTCTTACATATCAGAGAGAATTAGGAAACACTACATGCAAACATAGATGTACATATGTCTTCATGCTTTATTATTCCTTCTTCATAACCTCACTGTGGAGACTTCCTGAGAGGTGTGGTAGAATACAGAGATATAAAGAGGAAAAGGAGAATTAAAAAGCAGGGAAGGTTAAATGGGGTGGAGAATGGGAGTGCAGGGCATGGGAGACAGTATCAGGAGGTATAAGTTACACTAAAGGCCTTTAGCAAAAGCCTACCACAATAGAAGCTTCTTAAAGTATAGATGACAAATAGATGATAGATAGATATAAAATATATATGTATCATAAAAATATATTTAAAGAAGTTACCTTTATAACAGGAAGGAATTACCCTTACTAGACCCCATAAGGTAACAAAACAAAACCCTGATTTAGAATGGACTCCCTTTTCAAAGCTGTTGATCAGCTTCAAGACTGTACAAACACTACTATATATTTCCCCTGCTCTTGGTTACCCACAAGAACTAGATGGTAAGACCCTATTTCTGAAGACAGTACATATATGAGCTGTGGGACAAACAAAGAGTAGAGTCTCATCTCTACTGGCTAACTTTCCTAATGCTAGAAAGAATTATATGTGATACCAGAAGAAACAGTCTTAAACAACATTTCCCACCTGTGAACACTGTGAACTCCAACAATAACTGGTTTGGTAAGATATGCCCATAGGTTTAATCATGGCACTAATATTATGGGCATAACTAAGCACTGTCTAAATGGATTTAGTGTCTGCTTCACATGATGGAGTTCATTGATATCAGTCCTTTAGGAACTTGAGGGTATACACATCACAGGGCATAGGGGAGAGCTTAATACTAGTTTTCTACTAAATAGTTGTAGTATTAAGCTGACTCTTAAAGGCTTATTTCTGTACTGTAGATTAATGTGTCTCAATTCTTGCCAGAGAAGTTTCCTTATACAGCATATGAGATGATGGTTAACACAGAAACCCATAATTTGCCAATGTGCAGAGAACAAGTGCTTTCAGAGTATTTATTTCTTAATTGGACACCTATGTCAAACTTCTGTCTCCCAAGGTTAGGGTCTCATTGTGTAAGAGGGGGCAGAAAGATTGTAAGAGCCAGAAGTGGTATATGACCACACGGAAATAGAGTTTTCCAGACAGCTGGTCAGTTACTCATGTGAAATCACAGACTGATGACAGCATGCACAGATCCTATGCAAGCTCCAACAGACAGAATCCCAGCATTGATCTGGGAAGTGAATAAGAAACCCCAATAAAAAACCTAGGAACCTTAGGCAACAAATAGCTGCTTAGAGAGGGAGAGACAGTCTCATTAAAGGATGGCACTCTTGGTGAGTTAATTAGGCTCCAGGGAATGGACCCACACTTGAAAGATATTTGAAAGACACAGATTAGCCTCTATAGGCCTTATTTTTTTTTATTTATTTTTCGGTCTTTTTGAGACAGGGTCTCCCTGTAACCCCAGATGTCCTGGAACTCATTATATAGACCAGGCTGGCCTTGAACTCACAGAGATCTGCCTGCCTCTGCCTCCTGAGTGCTGGGATTAAAGGCATGTGCCACCACACCCAGCTATAGGCTGTATTATACAGAGAGTATATTAACTTCTGCTGGGGGAAGTAAGGGAAGGTGCAGACAGAGGAAGAGATCTAAATGTTGTTAAATAATGTATGAAAATCACTAAATCCAATCAAAAAATTTAAATAAGCAAAAAAATTAATCTTTCTGTGGAAGAGAAGGACTCCCAAACAGATCAAGTAAGCTTAGAGATTTATATTGTGACTTAAAGGAAAATATTTAATTCTATTTTGTCTACAATTCAAATGTGTATAATAAT